CTTGGCCGCACGGCTCCCACCGCGGAGGCTGAACCCCGCCTCTCCCGCACCCTGGATCTGACCCGACGACATGTCCTGTGACTCGGTCTCACTTCTCAGCACCTGCGCTGCTCCCCTCTCGGCCCGCGCCACCTATAGTGACTTGATCATTGAGCTGACCCCTCCCAGCCCAGTTCCAGCCAGTTTAACACCAGAGCCAGACAGGGTGGACTTTTGAACATACATTGCATCATGCCACTCCTCTGCTCAGCTCCTCCTAGGGCCTCCTCTCACGCCCAGTAAAAACCCCAAAGAGACGCTGCCGGCTCGCAGCGCCACCGCCGTGCCACTCGGACCTCACCTCCTGCTTTGCTGGCTCTCGCTCCACTCCAGCAAAACTGGGATCCCTGATGTTCCTGCTGCAGAACAAATGAGTGTGCACTGGCCTCAGGGCCTTTGCACTTGCTGTCCCTTCAGCCTGGTACACTCCTCCCCAGCGTCATGTGCAGCTCCCTCCTCCCCTCTCCCACTGCAGATCTCTGTGCCAGAGTCACCTTAACGGTAAGGTCTTCCCTGACCACCCTGTTTAAAGTGTTATTTATAATGATGATGATAGACGGATAGATACATAGAGAGCAAATCCCTCCACCCAGAGCTTCCCAGGCCCCTTGCTTCTCTGTGTCTCTGCATAGCACCCACCATGCTCTGACCCCTCCTCCGTCCGTTTTCTGTTGCTACAACAGAAACAGCTGAGACTGGGAACTGTACAAAGGAAAGAATCTGTGTGGGCTCAGGGTTCCAGAGGCTGGGAAGTTCAAGGGCACGGTGGTGGCATATGGCGAGGGTGTCATAGCATGGCAGCAGGTGCAAGGACCAGCGGGCGCCCCAGAGGCACTGGCTCCCCGGCGGCAGGTCCGGTCCTGGAGAACCACGCCGGCCCCATTACCCACCCGATCCCCGCGTAAACCCTCCGCTCCACCTCGGTGCCAATCGGAGTTGAATGCAGAGGGCCTGGCCCGTGGCGCTGCAGCCATGGTGTCATGGTGTTTGTTCGCTGAGCCACCGCCCTGCAAGCGACAAGACTCTGCCTCTTTGTGCTCTGCCTTGAACCCACCTGTGTGTGCCGTAATGAGCGTGCACCGGATACCCACTCCCCGCTGACACATGTGACCGCACGCACACACGAACCACACGCATGGACGCAGGCCCCGGGGGACAGCAGGCGGCTTCCAGGAGGTGGGGCTGGGGAGCGGGCAGGAGAGGCCAGCACAAACTGAACCAGGCCAGGGCTCGGTTCTTAATCTCATTTGGGATTAAGCAGCTCTGTGCACTAGGCTGAGACCTGCAGCCCACGGAAGGCCGCCACCATGGCCTGTGTGTCCCGGGAGTCCTAGGAGGGTGCAACACAGCGCGGGGGCTGCCCGGCCACTTCCTCAGACACACGCTCAATGCCAGCAACTGGGGCCCGAAGTTGACCTCCCCCCGGGCAAAGCAGCTGGAACAGGACAAAACAGGCGACGGGGAGAGGAGGCCAAGCATCCGTGGCAGCCCTGGCAGGGCTGTGCAGAGCGGTGAGCAGCTGGCATGCGGCCAGGGCAGCTGGCCAAGGTGCCCAAGGGAGAGCCAGGCCGCTGGGATAGGAAGCCTCGTGCTGGGGTGGGGGAGGGAGCTGCCCTTGCACAGGTGCCCCCAAACCAGGCCGTGTCCACTCGCAGGGACCCCCTTTCCCACTCTGCAGAGTGGCTCTGGGCAACATCCTTGGGCTCTACCTTCCCCTCTGTAAAGTGGGGCTATGACACCAGCCCTTCACCCTGGGCAGCCCTTCCTCCAAGGGGGGGCTTCTCCCCTCAGCACCCCAAATTCCACACCTCCCAACCCCTCCTCCTGTACTTCAGCTCTGAGAGTCCCCGCAGCCTGTCCCAGCCTCTGGGCCTTTGCACGTGCTGTATTTGATGCCTGCTCCTCATCCCTCCAGCCTAGCCACATGTCACCTCCCCTGAGAGGCCCGCCTGGATATCCTGTCCATAATAAAACTCCATCGCTTCTGTCACCCCCTCCCACGCTCTGTCCGGCTTCAGTTTCCTGAACACATGACTTGTGGGTTCATTCGTTTATTACCAGTCTTCTTCTTCTTTTTTTTTGACAGGCAGAGTGGACAGTGAGAGAGAGAGACAGAGAGAAAGGTCTTCCTTTTTGCCGTTGGTTCACCCTCCAATGGCCGCCGCGGCCGGCACGCTGCGGCCAGCGCACCGCGCTGATGCGAAGGCAGGAGCCAGGTGCTTCTCCTGGTCTCCCATGGGGTGCTTGGGCCATCCTCCACTGCACTCCCGGGCCACAGCAGAGAGCTGGCCTGGAAGAGGGGCAACCGGGACAGAATCTGGCACCCCGACCGGGACTAGAACCTGGTGTGCCGGCCCCGCTAGGCAGAGGATTAGCCTATTGAGCTGTGGCGCCAGCCGACCAGTCTTCTTAACCACAAGGTGGGATCCTTGGGGCCCAGGGTTCGATTCTGCTGATGGCTATGTCCACACAGGAGCTGGCGTCTGGGCAGGGGCTGGGAAGTCGCGTGCAAAGCGTAAATGAAGAATCAGCAGAGATGCGCCTCCCGCCTGATGTATAGCTGAGCATCTGACGGCATTCTGCAGGCTTACACGGAGAAATGATTTTCCAAGTGTATGGAAGGAATGAATGAAATGCATTCCCTTCCTGCTTGTAGTAGGCACGAGTGTTTGATGAATGAATGAATGACTGAATTGCGGTCAGTTCCCTCCTCTCGTAAAAGCTGCTATAAACAAAGAACTAAAGGAAAGGGAGACGAGAGAGGAGGAGGCAGAACAAAACGGAGTGCCGCAAACCTTGGGGGCGCTCCCAGTGCCCCCCTGCAGAGCCTGAGCCTCCTCCGATGCGCCCCTCCCCCGGCCTTCCTGCAGGGCTGGGACGCGCCCTGGCGCTGCCTGGCGGAGCCCGGGGAGCCGTTCCCACGGCCGTGTGCACAGGGAAGTCATAAGCTCCAGGAAATGAAGGCTGTGGCGCGGCGCTTCCCCCTCGCCCATAACTCCAGCCTCATTACGACCAGCCAGGCTGTAATGGGAGCCATCAAAGCCGGGTCCCCAGGGGCACGGGCGCAGCTCAGGGAAAGCCGTGTGTGGCTGACCGGGCGGGGCCCACCTGAGTGACCAGGCTCAGCCACAGGGCCAGGGCGCGAGCTGAGCTCAGGTTCCCGAGGTCCAGGGTCCCTGGACGCGGCTGAGCTCAGGTTCCCGAGGACTCTTCGCCTCCACTCTTCCCTCCATGTGGTTGGCATCTCCCATTCCCGCACCCCAGAAATGCAGCCCACCCCTCATGACCACCCCCCTTTCCAGCCAGGATTCCTCACCCTGAAACCCCTTCCATAAAGAATTCCTGGGGCGGCTGTCGGCGCGGTGGTTTAGGCGGGGCTCGCGGCAAACGTCTCACACGAGTGCCTTGGGTTCCAGTCCCAGCTTCACTCCTATCCCAGCTCCCTGCTACCGCACGGGATGCACAAGGACGTGGGTCCCTGGCACCCCCAGGGGAGACCTGGATTCAGTTCCAGGCTCCTGGCTTCAGCCAGGTTCAGCCCTGGTTCTTGTGAGCATTTAGGAAGTGAAACAGAGGACTGATTCTCTCTCTCTCTCTCTCTCTCTCTCTCTCTCTCTCTCTCTCTCTGTTTCAAGTATAATGAAAATAAACACATCTTTTAAAAATGTAAAAGACTCTCTGGAGCCAATACTGGGGACAAGTCCTGGGCTGCTAGGTATTTGCAAAATGGGCATAAAACACCACCCTTCAGCCTGTCACATCTCTAACGGCATGAGAGGTGCCCATGGAGGTGCCAGGTTGAAGGGGTGGCCTTCTTCCCCAGAGACCCGGCCACTCCCTTTGTCTCCAGGAAGACCCAGCTAGGACCAGGCCAGTGTCCCTCACACCCCTGCCCAGTCACACACTTCCAGCCCCCCCCCACCAACTCCCCAAACCAGCCAGACCACCCGCAGCCCACATGCACCTGCCCGCCTCGCCCCAGGGGGGCTCCGATGCTCCTCCTCCCAGAAGCAGCCCCGATTCTCTCCCCCATCTCCCCCCCCCAAACACCTGCACCCACTCCCTTTCCCGAGTCCCGCAGGTCCCCAGTGTCCACACACATTCATGGCCCCACAGGGGTTTCGGTTGTTCCTGGGGGCCGGCTCGTCTCCCTCCCGGCTGAACTGTGAACTTATCCACCCTCGTGCCCGGCATCCAGGCCAAGCCTGGCACGGAGCTGAAGCTGGGTGGAGCTGAGTTTTAGGAAGGGGCTGAGCTGAGCGTGGAGGGGGTGGGGGAGGCCCCTCACCTCCACTCACTCCGCCTGTGCCCGAAGTTCCTCCATTACAGCAGCGGGCCTGTCCCCTGTAAACACCCACATTAAGCCATTAGTCATCATCATGGCTTGAGTAGGCGTTAGTCCCTCAGATCCCTTTTTGCTGAAAGCAGGATCTGATGCGGGAGGGAGAGATGGATTGATCTGCAGCGCTGTGCTGGCCCGGGGGGGAGGAGAGGGTCTCCGGACTCGGGGAAGCTGCAAGCTCAGAGTGGCTGCGCCCCTGCCCAGCGCCACAGGGCACTCGGGTGCTCCCGGTGCTGCCAGGGGAGAGCAGGAGTGGCCGCAGGCTCTGGGAGGCCCTTTCTGGAAACATGAAGAGAGGGTGGTCCTGGGAGCTGAGGCAACTGTGCCCGCCCCTGCCCGTGTGCCTGGGGTTCCGGGTTGGACCCCTGGGGAGGGAGGGGCCCGTGAGAGGGGCAGGAAGGGTGGAGGAGGGTGGGAGTCGAGGGTGGGGGTAGGGGACAACCTGTCAGACCATGGGCTCCACTCCAAGAAGTCCCGGCACACCAGGGTCATGTACACCGCGACGCACGGCGCCACGCCCACAGGACGCGTCTGAGAGGTACCCATAGGGTGAGACGCGGGCCTTTCTCGCCCACCCTCAACAGAGCGCCCCCTCCATATTCTCTCGCTTCTCTTGCAGGCCCCAGATGGATCAGCACGGGCCCTAGTTCTGCAAGCAGGCGCGCACGACCAGCCGGCCCGCACCCGCTCTGCGCAGGGACCATGGCGCACCGGAACCGTCCGAGCCGCCAAGGGGCCGCCTGGTGATCCGGCCGCGGAGTGGCGAGGGGGGCGCGGGCGAGGACCCCCGGGGTTGTCCATGCCCCGGGCGTGGCCGCGCCCCCGCCCCCTCCAGCCGGGCGCCCCCGCCGTGGGACGGTGTGCAAGGCTGCAGACTTGGCCACCATGTGACGCGGCGCCGCTCTGCCGTGCGACCGAGCGGCGGCGCCCTGGTGCCTCCCGTCCAAGCTCCTGGGCCCGGGCCCGCGCAGGGCAAGCATGAGGCCGCGGCCCGACGGCAGGAGAGTCCTGGCGGGAGCCGCTCTGTCGCCCGCGCTGCTGCTGCTGCTGTTGCTGCTGCCGCCGCCGCCGCCGCTGCTGGGACGCCCGTGGGCGGCGGGCACGCCCGCGCCGTCGGCGCCCGGGGCTCGGCAGGACGGCGCGCTGGGCGCGGGCCGCGTGAAGCGCGGCTGGGTGTGGAACCAGTTCTTCGTGGTGGAGGAGTACACGGGCACGGAGCCCCTGTACGTGGGCAAGGTAAAGCAGGACCCCCGGGGACACGCACGGGCGGCTGCAGCGGAAGCCCCCGCCGCCACGCCCCTGCCGTCTAAAACGGGTCCTGGGCGCCTCCTGCCTGCTGTTCCCTGGCTGGTCGGGAGCCCCGCCCCCACCCCCCACCCCCACCCCCACCCCCACTCCTGTCTTTCGTCCGCTCCCCTTGGCAGCTCAGAGAGGCTGATGGGTAAACCCAGCACATCGCATGGGGAGATGCCCGCGGGATTCAGAAACGCGCTCATGGATCTGGTCGCTTCTGCACACATTCCCTGGCCAACGCCTTCCCTGCCACCCGGCCTCAGGCCCACGGCGCTTCCCATCGCCTGCGGAGGTGCGGAGATCGGCTCCCCCTCCAGACTGGGAGTTTGATGCCCCAAAAAGTCCTACTGAAATCGTTCCGGGGGCCCGCAGCCTCCCGCCACGCCAGGCCGGCCAGATGTCCTCACTGGGTGCCTGCTGAGGCCTGAGGCCCCTGTACCTTTCCTTTATAGCACTTTATTTAAAAAAAAAAAAAAGATTTATTTATTCATTTATTGGAAGGCCAGAGTTACACACAGAGCGGAGAGGCAAAGAGAGAGAGAGAGAGTCAGTCTTACATCTGCTGGTTCACTCCCCATTTGGCCGATCCAAAGCCAGGAGCCAGGAGCTTCCTCCGGGTCTCCCACATGGGTGCAGGGGTCCAAGCACCTGGGCCATCCTCCACTGCCTTCCCAGGCCACAGCAGAGAGCTGGATTAGGAGTGCAGCAGCCGGGACTTGCACCGGCTTTACCTGATCGCCACGGCGCCGGCCCCCTGCGTAGCACTTCAACCATGCCTGTGTATGATTGTGCAGCCAGTGTGCGTCTCCCCATCCGCCCGGGCCTGTGCACACCGGGAACTCCCCAGTGCTTGGAGCAGAACGGACGAGAGCTGCCCACTCAGTCCCTCTGAGCAAACGCCGGCCAACCCGGCTGGAGAGGGCTGCCTGGCCGTGGGAGGAGCTGAAATGGACTACCGCACTCTGCCCCGTCCCTGGGCCGCTCGTGTGAGTTCGGAGAAGCAGTTGTGCAAGACCTGGCTTCTGCTGTCTGGGGCTTCCCCAGAGTTGGTGGAGACCCACTAGGGCATCAGAAGCCCCACAAGTGGCACTGAGTAGGCGTTCATTCAACCGTGTCTCTTGGCTGGCTTCACGGAGGAGGAGACACCTGAACTGGGCTTTGACATACGAGTAAGAGTTTGTGGAAGCCTGAAGGAGGCTGGTTACTGGGAGATGTGTCAGCCGTTGAGGTGTAGGAGTGGAGGGTACTGTAGGGCATGGCAGTGGGGTTGTCCCCAGAGACAGTTCTCTGACTGTTGCTGAGATGTGTGGTCGGGAGACCAACTCCAGGGCTTCCTGTGTGCTTAAATGAGTCTACGAATTGGAAGGCAGAGCGGTTTTGAGTCTCAGGGATCAGGATCCTGGACAAAGAGAGAAGTCTAGATGTCCGCCTTTGGGTCTGCCTTGCAGGAAACCTGGATTTTCTCTGGTCTGGAGACAGTGGGCCCCCGTCCTCAGCAGTGCTCCCCCCGCCATGCTGGTGGCTGGAGCTGGCAGCCACCGCTGAGCACAGTGAGGACTTGGCTGGTGGAGCTCAGACAGGTTCAAGGTCTTGGTCAGAGCAGCCAGCACCCACGCGGCAGAGCCGGGGACCGCTGACTCACGGCAGGGCTGTGCGGTGGCAGGGCCGTGGCATGGGGCGTGGGGCTACACACGGCCAGGCACAGGCAGTGGCTACCAGTGAAGCAGGCAGGACCCGGGCCTTGGAGACAGCCACTCCTGAGGGTGAGGCCCGGTTCAGCAACCCATTCCCCATGGGCCCCGGGACCAGTCATGCACCCTCAGAGAAAAAATACAGGGCTCAAGGCGCCCGCTTCCTAAGGCTGCCGAGGACCAAAGAAGAAAACAGCGTGGGAAGTGGCAGCCCCGGCTGGTTTGTTCTCCGATGTTTTTGTTATTCCCATGTCCAGCACTTAACCCTTACCTGGCGAGGTGGAAATCATCGCTGCCTTTGTAAGCGAGGAAGCCAAGGTCAGAAGGGGCAAAGTCACAGAATGGGCGGGGCAATGGGTCTGACGACGGGAGCCTGTGCAAGTTGGTCGGCTATTTCTCTTTTTTAAGATTTATATGTTTATTTGAAAGGCAGAGTTACAGAGAGAGAGAGATCCATCCGCTGGTTCAGTCCCCAAATGAACCCAATGGCCAGAGCTGTACCAGGGTAAAGCCAGGAGCCAGGAGCTTCTTCCAGGTCTCCCACGTGGGTGCAGGGGCCCAAGGACTTGGGCCATCTTCTACTGCTTTCCCAGGCCATAAGCAGGGAGCTGGGTCAGAAGTTGAGCAGCTGGGACTCGAAGCATTGCCATTATGGGATGCCAGCACTACAGGCAGCGGCTTTACCTGCTGCACCACAATGCCAGCTCCACCGAGTTGGCGTTTTTAGGCCCGAAGGAAGAACCCAGCCTGATTCTTCAGACCTCTCCAAGGACTCCAGGCTGGGAAAGGCTTTGATCCAGGAAGACCCAGGGAGACAGGAAGGGCTCCGACCCGTGGGCTCTGATCAATGTCGGAGCGGGAGGTTCCCCCAGGCCCCTCAGCCCCCTTGTCTGCCCAGCAGCGGGGGCTCTGGAGAAGGCCCCCCAGCCACCCGTGTCCTGAAAAGATGAGAAAAACCGGTGCTGACTCACTGCTTTCCCCAGTGCCCACCTTGGCCTGAGTCATCTCCGTGGCCTGAGCCCAACCCGGCACCCGTCTCCTTGAAGCATCGGCTGTCGGTGATTGGATGGCCCTGCTAAGTCCATTCATTGCAAGAAGGGCCCGAGGCCCAGAGGCAGAGACCACGCCGTGCAGCACAGAACCAACCCAAGAAGCCTGGTCTCTTGGCACGCGCTCTGTGGCTCTTCGCTCACTGCCACGGTCCGACATTCAGCATCTGCTGGGAACCCAGCACCGTGCCGGCTCGGGGAGGAGGGTCTTTCTCGCCCCGCTGCAACCTCTCAGCATTGCCCCCGCTGTCCTGGGGCCTCACTGCCGCCTGCTCCCGGGGCCCCTGCTGTCTGCCTCCCCAGGCCACCTCTGCAGAAGCCCCCTGCAGGGAGGAAGCCGTTCCCACCTCTGCAAACATTCGCCGGACGCACACGTTCATGCAGAGGTGCTGTGCGTGCTCCGGGGGCTGCCTGGGCTCCAACCCCGGCCCTGCTGCTCGCGGTCATCTTCATCTCCATGCCTCAGTTTCCCCGTCTGTGAGGCTCCTGCTGGGACCCACCCTGAAGGGCCGTGGTGAGCGAGCGTTCAGTCCATCAGTGCAGGGTGAGAACCCAGTGCTACGGCCGGCTCCCAGCCCCTGTGGGGCAGGTAGCGGCTTTCATGGTTTTAAATCTGGCCTGATACAGCTGTCACTTTGCACGTACCCTCTCCAGGGGGTGGGGAACATCCGCCAGCGGGCTGTATGAGGCCCACAAAACCCTTTGGTCTGGCCCCACCAAGGCAACCTTGGGCAGGTCTCAGAACTCAATAAACCCATAGCAGGCTAGTTTTTAAGCTGACCATTTTGTATGGCCCAGGAATGATGTCATAAGTATCCCAATGGCCCCAGCAGGAGCAAGGTTCCCCAGCCCCAATATGAGGATACTGCAACCCCCTGCCCCAAAACCCAAAGGCCTTCAACCTGCTCTCCGGGTTCCTCACCACCCCAGGAAGAGGAGCGTGGGCTCCCAAGAGCCACCTGTGCTCTCTGCAGCTGAGCCCCGCGTGTGCACAAGGGCTCTGCATGCACACACACGTGTGCGTACACGCGCATTCATACCACGCTCTCCCGCTCTTCGGGGAGAAAGGACTTCTCCACGGTTCCAGTTAATTCACTGCTTCCTGGCTCCCCCCCACCGCCGCCACCCCCACTCCAGGGAGCCGCTCAGAGCATCGGTCCTTGTCGGATTCCAAAGGTAGCTTAGCAACAGCACCATCACCAGTGAACCCCGGGCGCCCAACGGTAACCTATTTTACAACCGCCTCCTCCATCACTCACCGCCAGGCTCCTGTCTGCACCCACAGGAACCGCTGGGCCGCGAGGTTGTCGCTGTCGCCGAGTCACCACCCTCCCCCCAGCTCCCTCCACGGCCTTGCCCCCTTGGCATCCCCTGGCCCGCCCTCTCCCCTCCCCTTCACACAACACCCACCCTCGAAGCACCCTCCCAGCATCTCCATAAAATCTGGGTACTTTGACTAATCCCTTTTCCGAACTGTAATTTCCCCCGAGGCTTCTGTCAGTTGGATGTGGATTTTGTAGGATTTTTAATTTTTTTTTAAAGATAGAATTATGGGGTCAGCACTTAGGACCGACTCCTGTGGGCGGTGAGATCTATTTTAGATATACGGCAGGATTAAAGTGGGGAGGAGAGCAGATTTAATTAAGTTGCTAATATTTAAAGAAAATTGATGAACTCCTGGTTTACGAGTAGCACAGGCGTGAACAGACCCCTCACGCTCTGGGGGAAGCTTTTTATTTGATTTGCTTTCCGTTTAAATCTCGGACTCGTTTTATTTGCGTAGCTGCGCTGTCCGTTTAATTGTCTTTAATAAGGAAAACGTACCTCTGCTCGCATTTGATTTTGATTTAATTAGGAGGAAGTAATTAATGGCCTCGTAAATCCCGTTTTTTAGCCCCCTGGGATGAGAAGCCGTCACTCCCGTGTTTTTCTCCTTGTTTATGATCAAGGGCTGGGGTGTGGCGGCGGCGGGGGCGGGGGGGCAGGAAGGGGTGGAGGGGGTTGCCTCTCCCAAGTTGGCCTCACTTGATGCAGTGGAAAGAACCCCGGCCGTGGTGTGAGACAGGCTTAGGGACTGTCTCTTGTTAGCTGTGGACCCTCTCTGGACCTCAGTTTGCCAATCTATACAATGGGGAGAAAATGACCTTGATTCACAAGGTCATGGTGAGGTATCGGTGAGGTGACGGTCCCCGTACCTGCAGCACACGAGCCCCTGCGTGCCTGGATCGGACGCAGTGACTGGGGCCTCCAGAAATCCCAGGAGGCAGTTGGGGAGTTCCAAAGACGGTCATGTGTTTCATTATTAACTCAGTAGGCTGGGCGCCCGGGAAATGGAGATGAGTGGCTGTGTGTTCACCGTGTAACCTCGCACTCACGTGCCTGCACCTGCACACACACACGCACACATCCGACTCTCCCACTCCCCCGTGTTGGGGCACCTGCACGTGCGGGAGGCCGTGCCCTGTGGACTCAGGGGAGGGTGGAACACAGGGCCTGTGTGTGGGGCACAGGGACAGAGTCGGGTGACAGCTCTGCAGCCCAATGGGAGGGCATCTGAGAGGGCTGCCTGGAGGAGGAAACAAGCTGGGTCTGAAAGACAAGAAGGAATTGCATGCGTGATGGCCCCTGGAGCTCCAGCGGGGCAGGATTTGAGTCTGGGGTTCTCGTGCCAGGAGATGAGGGGACTGTGACCCCACAACCCCTCCCAAGATCAGGACGGGAAAAGGGGAGGGAACCCAGCTACACTGAGCACCTACTATGTGCCAGGAGCTCCCGTCCGTTATCTTGCGAGTCTTCAGGATCGGTGGGGCAGCAAATCAACCCCACGCGGAGGCCACGCAAGCACCGGGCAGCGGCAGAGCTGAAGCCGACCCGGCCGCTCCCAGCGACACAGCCCCCACGCTCTTTTCCAGAGGATGCGATGGAAGCTCAGAGGGAGGAAGCCACAGAGCCTGCTGCCAAAGGCTGGGGCTGAGGCCACTGCCCCCCCCACCACGGCAAGCTGAGAGCTGCAGAGGCACCGCCCGCCCTCTGCAGCCACGCTGACCTGGGCCTGACTCAGTGGCCTGCCCTGGGAAGTGGGGATACGTTCACATCCTCCCAAGGTCAAGGTGACTTCTGCAGACAGCCCGCAAAGCTCGTCCGCCGGGGTAGGTGCTTAGTGAAGGAGCGCACCGTCCTCTACCTCCACCCACAGCTGAGACTCTGAGAACCAGAGGCCCCCTCTCCATGCCTGCCGGAGCCAGGGCCCGGGCTGGCCGGGCAGGCAGCCCACACCGGCGGCTTTGCTCTCTCCCAGGCCGACCGGCCCTGTGCGACTCTGCAGTCCTGGGAGAGCAGCCGCCGGGCCCAGTGTGAGCTCCGTGTCATACTTCACAGAAGAACACGGATGACATCACCGCCGGTTCCACTTCCTCCTCCCGGCGCCTCACCCCTCGCTGATAAGTGAGCCCTGGCCGAGGTCTGACTTAAAAATGTCAGGGAGACCTGATGCCAGCCCAGGAGACAGAGAGGGAGAGAAACAGCCACGGCCACGCTGCTTGGGTCCTGCTCTCACTTAATCCTCACCACACCAGCCCCAGGGAGGGCTTGCTCTGGTTGCCGGTGTGTGTGTGTGAGTGTGTGTGTGTTGTGTGTGTGTGTAGAGTGACCAACACTGGTGAGCGGTGGAGTCAGAAGCGTGGCTGCTTCGCTGTGGGACGGAGCAAATGCCTTCTTCCCTCTGTGCCTCGGCTCTCCCATCTGAGAAATGGGAATGATGACGCTTCCTAGGGCAGTGGCACAGGCTGCTACCACTGTAGCTGTTGCAGCAAGCCCTCCAGGTGGCGTCTGCTGCTCCACGCTGCGAAGAAATGTTTGCCGATGTCACAAGCGCACAGCGGCTCTGCCTGGGAGGGGGTGCAGCCCCCACCCCCATGGGGAGACAGATCCACCTTGTCCCAGCTCACCTTCCCTGGGCCAAGCGTTCACAGCAAACAGGAGAGACGGGCGGGTCTCCCCATCCCCGGCGCGGCCAGTGATTCAGGGCCGACATCCTGAGATAATTTTATTGGGGGCATTAAACTGAGTTATGAGGTTTTTACAATGCAGCCACTTATGAGAAATCTATTAACAGTAACTGGACAGGAAGGAGGCTTCTCGCTGGAGCCCAGGACGGGCATTAATTGGGGCAATCTATAACAGGACGGGGACCCGGGAAGGTTCCACCAGACGCCTCCCTTCCCTCCCTGCAATTTCTGCTGAGAATCAGCAGAGTCGCCAAAAAGAGAGAGATGCCCATTAATCGGCTAATGAAATATGAAAATGTTTATGGGCCATTCAATCTTCCAAATGGCACTTCTATAATCCACCTTTCAGACACAAAGTTCCCCCGGCAGAATTTACACCCCGGCTCCTCCGACGTGGCAGGGGTGAGTGTCCGTCCCTTCCTGACCACGGCGTCCACACCTGCTCTCCCCCCGGCTCGGGAGGCTGGGAGCCACACAGCACCCTGGCCCCAAAGGGGCTTTAGAGGCTCTCTCATTTGCTCCCCGTTGCCACAGAGGCAGGGAGCAGGAACCCACCCAAGGGCCCCGGCTTCCTGGGGGTCCACTTCCCTCTGCTCACGGCTGCTTCGGAGATGTGGGCATCGGCGGCTATGGTCTCAGGTGTCTGTCTTTGCAAGAGCTCGTTCCTCCACCCAGAGAGCTCAGTGCAGTGGAAGCAGCCTGCTGGTGCCTGGATTAAATGCCGGTTCTATACAGTTAATGCCTCGTGATAATATAACAACACGCCGGCCACGGCTGCCACGCACTGGGCTCTTACTGTGTCCCAGGCAGGGCTGATCCCAGCTGATGGAGCCGGGCGGGCTGTGAAGTGGTGAGAAACCTTCACACCTGCAGGGGACAGTCCTCTCCCGCACCCCACCTCGGGGCCCCTCGGAGTCAGCAGCCGGAGGGTCCGTGCCTGGCCCGGCAGGGGCTCCGCTGCAGAACCGCTCTGGGCAGGGCCCCGCCGGCTGCCTGTTAAATGTTGGGGATGTTGCTGGTACCAGGCGGCCTCCAGGGCTCTCAGCTCGGCGAGCCCCTCAGCGCCTCCCGGAGGGAGTCGCTGTCCTGACTGCCATGTGCCAGCAGGGGCGCCTCGAGCCCCCAGAGGACGAGGATGGCCCCGCTCCAGCGCCGGAGCCGAGGCTGCGCAGGCAGCTCCTGCATCGCTGTGACCCTGAGAAAAGTCCCGCACCTCCAATCCCAGTACAAAAGGGGGGGATGGGGAAAATGAGAACAGCAAAGTCTGCTGTAATAGGGTGTTTAAAAAGGTGTTGTGGCGAAGCAGGTGAAGCTGCCACCTGCGACACCAGCCTCCCATATGGGTGCTGGTTCAAGTCCCGGCTGCTCCACTTCCGATCCAGCTCCCTGCTGCGGCCTGGGAAAGCAGCTGAAGATGCCCAAGTGCTTGGGCCCCTGCACCCATGTGGGAGACCCAGAAGAAGCCCCTGGCTCCTGCTTTTGGTCTGGCCCAGCCCTAGCTATTGCATCCATTTGGGGAGTGAACCAGCGGATGGAAAGTCTCTCTGTGTCCCCCTCTCTCTGTAACTCTGCCTTTCAGATAAATAAATAAATCTTTTAAAAATAGGTCAATAAATAGTCCACACTAGACACTGGCACCCAGTAGGTGCTTAGCATGGCACCCAGTAGGTGCTTCTATAATCTGCCTCTTCGCCCCTGCCCCCTCCGTTTGCCAAGTCCTGAGCCTGCCTCTCCATCTTCCAGGGTGGGTCAGGTGCCCCCATGAGCCTTTGAGGGTTGGAGCCAAGGGAGAGGTGGACCTGGACCTCGCAGCGAGGTCCCGCGCGAGCACCCTGGGAGCTCGTTACCTGCGCGAGCTCAGACTCCCCCTCGCCCCCGCCTGCCGAGGCAGAAGCTGCACTTTAACAAGCCCCCAGGTGATTTGCATGCACGTTCAGGTTGCAGAAGCGCCGGCTACAGCGATCCTACAAGGCCGAACACGATAAGGATGATGGCTTGGTGTACTGAGAGATCTTGCGGGGGACTGGGAGGTGGGGCATCTTGAAAGCTTTCTGAGCAGGTGGCATTTGGCCACACCTTGCAGGGGGCGTGGGCCTTCAGGGGCTGAGAAATAAGGACAGGAGCCTGTGAGCAGGAGCCTGGGGGCTCTGGGTGGCCAAAGGCAGAGACGAAGCGGTGGCTCTGGACTCCTTTGCAGTGGCAATGGGGAGCCACGGAAGGGTCGCAAGCAGGGGAGAGCGTGCCCAGTGCTGGCTCTGAGGCTGGTAGCCTGGCGCAGAGTGGAAGCACATTACAAGGGTGGGGCTGGAGCAGGGAGAGCCGCAGAGGGCTGGGGAGACGGCCCAGGCCAGAGTGAGGCGAGTGTGGCTTCCGGGCCTCAGTGCCTGCTCGCAGACGTGGGGCTGTTGCTGGAGGGCTGGCTCTGGAGTGGGTCCTGGTGGGACTGGAGGCAGGAGGCCGAGAGGGCCGCCTTTGCAGCCGGCCGCCACCTTGCTCTCTGCCTCTGCAGATCCACTCGGACTCGGATGAGGGGGACGGAGCCATCAAGTACACCATCTCAGGCGAGGGCGCGGGCACCATCTTCCTGATCGACGAGCTGACGGGCGACATCCACGCCATGGAGCGGCTGGACCGTGAGCAAAAGACCTTCTACACGCTTCGCGCCCAGGCCCGGGATCGCGCCACCAACCGCCTGCTGGAGCCCGAGTCAGAGTTCATTATCAAGGTGCAGGACATCAACGACAGTGAGCCCCGCTTCCTGCACGGCCCCTACATTGGCAGTGTGGCTGAGCTCTCACCCACAGGTGGGCCGCGGGCCTGGGGAGGGGGGTGAGCCTCCGGGGGGGTGCACGCTGGCTTCTGAGTGCCACTGCTGGGAGGGGCAGAGCCGAGCCTCGGGGGAGGGGCAGGGTTGCCATGTGAGCTCAGGTGCCCACTAGGGTCAGGCGTGGCCAGGTACAGACAACAGCTGCACCCCTGGACAAAGCCGGAGCCGGGCCCCAGTCACAGCCGTGGACACAGCCCCCACCGCATATGTACCTGCACGTGGACTCACTGGGACACGGTCACACACACGGCCCAGCTTGGGGACACGGCCCCTCCACAGGCAACATCCAGATGTGTCTCACAGCCAGGCACAGCCCTTCACGGAGACTCAGCTACGCACAGACCCAGGGCGGTCCTTGGCCACAGCCACCATGTAGAAGCAGTCGCTTCTGCGTGCCCAGCTACACACAGGCTCGCCCGCACCCAGGAGCGGCCACAGGGGACGGGCGCAGCCTCACGGCCAGACACAGCCACATGAACCCTGCACAGGCACAGACAGGCCAAAGCCTTGACCAGGACTTACTGCCTGGGGCCCGGCCGCGGGGTGCAGCTGCGGGCTTGCCCGCCCACTCGCCTGAGCAATATCCACACAGCTTCGCTTCACGGCCCACGAGGGAGCCCCAGTTCACCAGGACCCAGGCGCCTGGGCCATGGGCTGGCGCGGAGCTGGCTGAGCCCTAGACGCAGGGTCAGGTGCACCTGCCCAGCTGTGGCCATGCGCTCACCCGCTGCTGTGCACACAGAAGAGAAAGCACAAAGACTTCAGACACAGCCACACTCGGAACCTGCTGTCCACACGGCACTCGGACCCCGGGGACTGGAGGCTGGCTGACTCCACCTCCTCCTTCCCACGTGGGCCCCCAGGTCTCAGCCCGTGCTGTGTCACTGACTCCCTGTGGCCACAGGCTTGGCTCTGCCTCTCTCCGGCCCTCCCTCTGGCCTCACCCGTGTCAGACGCCGAGGATTCCTGGGTTCTTGGGGCAGGGTGCAGTGAGCCCCAGCGTCACCAGGTTGAGCCAAACCTGGCAGGTGGATATATACAAGTGTAGGCAGCCAGGAGAGGAAGAGGAAGATGAAGACTGGAGAGAATGGGGGACGCGAGGGATGGCGGGAGAACAGGGAACAGCAAGGGCGTGAATGTGGGTGTAGGCCAGTGCACGTGTGTGCCTGAGGAACACACACATTCCACATGTGTGTGCAGCTGTGCACATGCGTGGCAGCCCGGGGCACTTCAAGGCCTGTGCAGGCGAGGGCTGTGCTATGTGCCTGTCTGAGTGCATGCGTTCATGCATTTAACAGCTATGTGTTGAATACCTACTGTGTGCCAGACACTGGGGTCCCAGTGGTGAAAAGGCAGGCAAGACTTCCTACGCTCCCGCAGGGCCCATTCTGGCTAAGGAAGACAGACGATAAGCAAGTGACCAAGTAGAATATTAGTTCTCGAAGGCCCCTCTGCAGAGGAGACGCTGAAGCAGAGACCTGAAGAAAGTGAGGGTATGGGCCCCGGGAGAAGAGCATTCCAGGCAGAGGGAACCATCCATGCAAAGGCCCTGGGGCTGAACTCCCCCAAAGGTAGCAAGGCGGTCAGATCATCAGCCCTGTAGACCATAACCAGGGCTGTCTTTGCCTGTGAGATGGGGTGGCTGGGAAGTGAGCCCAGGGCCTTGTTGAGAAGAATGACGTGATCTGACTTGATGGTCACGGGGTCTCGTGCCCCGTGAAGCACAGATGGTGGGCTGGAACGAGAGGGCACCAGGGGTGGTGTTGAAACGTAGGCTTGGGGGCATTTGCTCACCGGTCGGCTGTGCAGAAAGCAAATTCAAGGATGGCAGCTGGAATGTGAAGCTGAGCAGTGAAATGGGTGGGACTTCCGTCTCTGAGGTAGAAGGAGTTCCTCTGGGGGATGGAGGGAAATCAGCCACACTCAGGACGCTGGGCGGCCGAGCGGAGGCCCTGAACACCCAGCCGGCGTGTTGGTTCAGCGGAGGTGGGGGCAACAGAGATACATCTGAGATAAATTTCAGAGCCTGGCAGGAACTTAGAAATGAGCTGTGCAGGTGGGGGCCTTGGGGCTCTGGCGAGGTCACACTGCGGGCCCCGCCCCCGCCTCGAACTCTGTCCTAAGGGAATGTGGTCCTGAAGGACTCCAGGGGAGCTGTGGCTTGGCCCAGGCAAAGTGAGGAGGTGGCCCGGGCAGACGTGCAGTTGTGAACTCTTCCTCTGTTGCGCGGAGGAGAGTGGCTGGGGCCGGGGACTCCTGGGGGAGGGGGCGCGGAGCGGGGAGCATCCCCACTGAACAGACGGGAGCGCTGAGGCTGGGGGCTCCCACAGTCCCGTAGCAGGTCAGGGATGGAGCCGGGCGCTGAGCGCGGCTCCCAGGCTGCAAGAGTGGAAGGGGTCCTTGCTTCACAGAAGAGAAACTGAGGCCAGGGCAGGGGCTCTCCCCGGGCAGGAGGCAGAGCCAGACCCCAGCGGGAGTCCCAGCCCAGCAACTCCCAAATTCCACCCCGGAGAAAGACGCCAGGCAGGGGGACTCAATTTGGACCAGCTGGGAAACCCAGGATGGGGGCGGGGGGAGGCAGGAATTAGATGAATGCATTTCATTTGAACAACTTTTTGAAGGGGCAGCGGCTGCGACGCTGGGTGCTGGCAGAGACTCTGGGTGGCTTTGAAAATCAGTCACAATTACCGAGCCTCCTGATCTGGCTGCGGAGGCGGGGCCGACAAGCGGCTTGGGGTCGGGCAGCTCCGAGATCAGAGGGAGCAGAGACGCAGCCCGGGACATGAAAGGCAGCGGCGCTCGCAAATTAAAGCCCTCCCAGCTTAAAAGCGGAGGAAGTGAGCCGGGGGCCGCGTGGAGCGCGCGCTGGAGGAGGGGGGCTCGGCTGCCACGCTGGGCCTATCGCGGCCAAGCAAATCCCGGGACGGTCGGGAGGCCCCACCCCCACCACGTGGCCTTGGGCAAGCCCCTGCCCCTGTCTGGGCCCCAAGTTCCCTTGTGAGCCTGGAGGGGGCGCGCTGTGGCCGCAGGTGCTCACTGCGTGCCCACTACCTGCTAGGTGCGGTTCCGGCCTCGGCTATTCCAAGGGGATCTGAATCCTAGACCAGAGAGAGACCGGGAAGAAACCACGTGTGATGAGCCCAGCTGTGGGATTGCCACGCAGAACGAGGGCACTGGGGGGAGGTGCCCTGTTCCATACAGGGCCAGAGAAGGCCTCTCTTTTTATTTATTTATTTTAAAAAGATCTATTTATTTATCAAAAGGCAGCGTTATAGAGAGAGATGCAGACGTGGGGGAGCGTGGGGAGGGGGGACTTCCATCTGCTGGTTCACCCCACAAATGGCCACAATGGCTGGGGCTGGGCCAGGCTGAAGCCAGGATCCCAGAACGCCAAGCACTCTGGCCATCCTCTGCCGCCCTCCCAGGCGCAGGAGCAGGGAGCGGGGTCGGAAGCGGAGCGGTGCGTACAGGGCACGCCAGCATCTCAGGGTGGCGGCCTAACCCACTGGGCCACAGCGCTGGCCTCAGGGCTCTCTGTATAAGAGGATGGACAAAGACCCAAAGGGGGAAACCAGCGAGCTGTGCCAAGCAGTGGTTCTCAAGCGGGAGAACTTGCTAAAACACAGACTGCTGCTCCTCCCCCACCTCGACTTCTGACTCAGTAAATCTGGGCTGTTAGGATTGTTTGCGTTTCTAGCAAATTCCCAGGGGAAGCTGGTGCTGCTGGTTGGGGGACCACACGTGCGGCAAGAGGACTGTTCCAGCCAGAGGGGACGGCAGGTGCAAAGGTCCTGAGGCATAGCGTGCTTGTCATGTTTGAGGGAGAACAAGGAGGGCCATGTGGCTGAAGACGAGTGAGTGAGTGAGGGGACAAAGGAGGTGCCAGAAGCCGGCCCTCAGAGGACTTGGTGGCCATGCAAAGGTTCACAGTTGTACGCTGAGATGGGGAGCAGAGGACGGATGTGAACCAACTGGTATTTTTGAAAAATGACTTGTTGGCTGTCATGTTGAAAATGGACTCCAGGAGATGAGGGTGGGAGCAGGGAGGCGAGGGTGGACGGTGGCAGGTGCTGAGGAGAGGTGGCATCTGGGTGCCTGTTGATGGTGGAGCCAGCAGGGCTGGTGAGGGCTTGCACACCGGGAGTGAGAGCCAGAGGAGACGTGGGCGATCTGAAGTTGGGGCCTGAGCAGCTGCACACGAAGGAGACTGTTGCAGCCCGAGCGAGTTTGCAGAACTCGTTCCTGGGCACGTTACAATCGAGATGTCTCCTGGAAACCCAAGTGGAGATGTCAAGGGGACAGATGGATTTATGAGGCTGGACCTGAGAGAGCCGGGCCTTAGATGCAGGGCATTGAAAGCCAGCAGCAGAGAGGGGGGATTTACCGCTTGGGGCTGGATGACGTCAACAGGGGACGGAGTTTTGGTGGAGAAGAGCTGACCTGGATGAGCCCTGAGGTGTCAGCACCTGACTGGGGGACAGCAAGGGGGCTCTCAGGGGGCTCCCTGATAGGACCTCACCCAGCTCATCTCCACCCTCCACCTGCTTAGTGAGCCAACTGCGTACGAGACTCTGTTCTCGGCACAGAGGGCACAGAGATTAGACACTGAACTCAGCGTGCGTTCATTAGCCCCTGCTTTCTTCTGGGCACGGCAGGGGACATAAGCAACAGTAACTGAATTAAACCCACAAATGGTTATGAGCGCCAGCACCTGTTAGAAGCAGGTCCTCTAGCGTGCTTGGCTCCGAAGGGATGCAGAGATGAGCCCCCGCCCACCCAGCTCAGCAAACGTTAGCACCTACTTTATAGACAGCCCTGCAGGACACGGGAAATAAGCAGCTACTTTTCATTCAGTGAACAAGTATTGAGCTTTCCATGTACGTGGCGCTTTGCCAGGCATGTGGGGATGCACGGGTGAGCAGGACGCTGCGCCTGGCCTCAAAGGGCTGCGGGTCACTCTCCTCACTTGTGCCAGAT